ATGGGGCCCCACAAGGGCTGCTTGCTGGCTGAGCTCCTCTTACTTGAGCTGCCTGCTTCTGTTGTGAAAGATAAGCCTCCTCCTTTCTTACCTGGTGCCCATCTTTGCAGGAAGAAGTCAGGACTGAGTCAGAATTGGATTAATCCTCTGTGGTGTCTGGACATCACTCTAACCCCATAAAGTGTGTTGTTTTTTTCGCTGAGTCACTATTTGGCTTCAGTCTAGAAATAACGTGATTAGAGCATTGATCTTGTGCTTCTTGGATTTGGCAAATGCTCTGTTTTCCTTGTTTTCTGGGCTTTGAGGAGCAGGACACAGTTTGAGACAGACACAGTTTATTTAAGTGAAGAAATTAATAAAATTTCCAAACCTGACTACTGTTCTTTTAATGGTTGCCCTTTTCACACCTAACTACTGCCTTAAAGAAACAGGCTAGTCTCCTCCAATGCTCGGATTTCTAATAGTTGGCTTCTGCTCTGGGTCCTGCCTCAGGGGCGTCACTTCTTGGAGCAGGTGGTCCAGCCCCCTCCCCCGGCAGGGCCGCCCAAGACTCCTCCGAGCCCCTTTCCCTGCCTGCTCTCAGCTTGCGTGGAAGATGGTGTTAGCTTCCAGCTTAGATCGTACTGTCTGTGAGGGCAGGGGCACTATCGGTTCTTTAATCACCTGGCACACACTTGTACAGTTCAATGTTTACATGTGGGAAAACTCCAGCTTAGACAAACTGGGGAAGTACACTATCGGTTCTTTAATCACCTGGCACACACTTGTACAGTTCAATGTTTACATGTGGGAAACTTCAGCTTAGACAAACTGGAGAAGTCCACTTGTGTATCTCCCTTGCCAGAATCCTACACCGAGAAACCGAGCCTTAGATTTGCAATAGAAGTTTGTTATCTAGTCTGTTTGCTGAAGTATATGTTGGATGACTAAGGAGCTAAAAAGGCCCCCCAAGCAGATCTGTTGCGATTTGTTTGTTTTGCCTGTGGCCGACCTTCTGTGACGTGCAATGTGCTGTTGGTGCAACAGGTGATTCAGTCCATGTCTACAGCAGGCCTCTCGCCTGCGGTCTTCATTTACTGTGGCAATAACAGGAGCAAGAGCCTTTAGTGGTCAGACACATGAGCTGGTTCTACTAAGGCAGAGAGAAAGTACGTATCCCAGGCTGGGCACAGAAGGTAAAGTGATGAGTGAGACTTGTCACAGCACAGGGGCTGCAATGGCCGGTTGTCATCCAGCCCCTGGACCCAGGGGAGGAGGCTCTTCCGCTTGGTTAAACCCTTCTCTCAATGCAGAGGGAATAGCCTGGAGGGTGGAGCTGCAAGAGCCTGATAAGGGCCTTGGCAAGAAAGGTCTCCCAGTACTCGATTGACCTTTTTCCTTTTTAAATATGTCTTTTTGATCCTTAAGAAGAGGAGCAAAGCTTCTATAACAAGCTGAGATTCCACTTTAGATCAATGTGCGTGGCTCAGGCAGGAGCCGTGTTTATGGTACATTTGGGCGGGATCTCACTGTGCTTCACACAGTGTGCCTTGTCACTTAAAGTGGCTTCAAACTCACTGGGGAGCTCCTATTTAAAGGATCCTATAGCAAATTCTCTCATAAGGAAACATGAATACTTGCTTCCTAGCATTTGCAGTATTGTAGCTGGTTTCAAACACCTTGGAGTCAGAACTGAGAGGTCTTTCCTTAGTGCGTCTGTAGAGTCTCTCCTGAATCAAGATTTCTCTGTGGACCTTCATTTGTTTAAAAGCATTCAAAGCACATGTCACACGCTGATTTCTCAGTCAAGAGCAGGGCTGGCTACAAGTTTGAGGGCAGAGGGATCTTGACCCTGTTAACGAGCCGTCTCACTCCTGGCCTTCTGGGCTAGCTTCTGAACCTCACGGGTCTCTTTGTGTTTGTGAATATTCACATGATCCCAGACGCAGGAGGATAATGCCTCTCCCTCCAGAGGGCGACTCCTTGACCTCCTCCTCTATGAATCTCAAGTTAGGCACCAGCAGGGACCTCACCTTTATTGGGTTTGGAACCCTGAGCGGTCCCAAAACTGTTCTTGACCTTGGCAGAGTTTCTCCAAAGGAGCATAAGGCGCATTTCCAGCTGTCCTTGACCCAGTGCCTCTGCTCCTTTTGGTGTCATTCAGGCTGCTTGTTTTTCTTCGATGACCCCTTCTGAGAAAGGAGGCAGCAGGGCAGAGGGGGAAGAGCTTTCTGGGCTGATCTGATTCAGAGTCCCGCTTCTGCCTTTGTGACGTCGGGCAACTTCAACTCTCAGGCCCTGCGTGTGCATTTGTGTTTTGAAGACAGCAATGCATCTGTCAGAGGCTTGTGTGAGGAGCACATCAGGGAACACATATAAAGTCCCTATCACAGTGTCTGGAACATAATGGGCATCTCAAGAGACTGGCCTTTGGGAATGGACTCTTAGCACTTTCTCTTCTATGAGGGTCCTCCCTTTTTATCATAGGGCCTTCCGGATGACACCCTTAATACCAGTGCCTTTCTTATTCCTGGGAATGCAATGATTCAGATGCCAAGCTCCTCCAGCTCCTGTTTCTAAAGCTGAAAGAGATGACACTCTGTTCCCCCTCACCGGTTTCTGCCCTCCCATTCCCAGCCTATTGCAGGGGAGTCTAGCTTACCACATGCACACAGCAGTGCACCTACCTACAGAGTTACTAAAAGGTGCCCATTAGGAATGAAAATGCTAAGGGGAAGAAAGTCTGATTTGGTGCTTCTGAGAATCTACAAAGACTTGCTGAGTCCTCTGCTTTTATGCTGAATGGCTTTTTATTCAGGTTCAGGGCAAATTCTTTTTAAGAATTATTGTTATTATTTTTTTAATGAATCACTACCTTCTTCCTTTCTTCCAATGTCCAGGATCCTTAAAAAGCTAGCGTTTTGTCAACCACTTATCCATTTCTGATCTTTAATGAAATAACTGGAACAACCTAGGAATGGTTTTCAGACCAAGCATGGGATTCCTTCGAGTCCTCTCTTCTCTTTGAAGGCAGTTCTGATGTCCAGCCTGGGATGTGTGTGGCCTGCAGTATTCCTGCTTCCCAAGGCTTTATATGGGGAAATCGATGTAGTTACACAGCAGGCATGTGAGTTTGTTTGCACACTGCGATGTCTAGAGGAAGTGGTCTTTTTCCTTGCTTGTCCTGAAGTAGACAAAGAGGTAGCAGTTAGGCAGGAAAGGCTGCAGGGCTCAATGCTGGCCATTTTTTTAAAAAAGGCATTGAGTCTCCAGCCAGTTTCAGGAAACCTGCAATCTCTCCATGCACAACACAGCAGCCTAGCTCTCTATATGGTGAGGACTGGAAGTCCAGCCAGATTTCTGAAGAAAAAAATAAAGCTACTGGAAGCAGTGGGCCTCCAGCTTGGAATAAGTTAGACTTTGGATCTACAGTGGGGGACGCAGTCTCTAAACTTAACAACTTGAACAGGCAGCCCACTTCAGCCTTGGATTTTGGTAACGTGGCTGGATTTGGGTGCAGCGTCAGCTATCACAGTGAAATAAGAAGAGCTTAGTGCTCTCCTGGTATAGCTGGTGAAAAACCTCTTCCACTGATGAAAAAGCCTTTCTGGACAAATGCAGCAAGCTCTTCCTGGTAGGCTCTTAGAACTGTGTCTCTTCTTGTCCACTGCACCCGAGTCCCTATCACAGTGTCTGACTCCAAGGAGGTGCTCAATAACTTGACTTAAGTGAATAAAAGCATGAAAGGGTGACTCTGAATGTCCTACAATAGACCAAACAAATCATCAGGAATTTGGCCTTAACCTTAACCTGCCAAGTTCTTCCTAGGGGGAGGCGTTCTCAGCACTACAGGCCTCAGTGAAGGTGAGTTTAAAAGCTAGCTCTGCAGAGATATTGTTATGGAAGGAGAAAAGCACCACAATGACATGTTTTTCCAAGTGTTAACCATTTATAAATAAGTACATTTGCTTTCATACATACAGTTCATTGTACAGATGACGATCTGTATACATGGGGCAGGAAAATGCATTCATTTGAACTTTTCACATCTATCTCACACAGCTCACATGTACAGACGATAAAACTGCTCAAGCAAGTACAGCAAAGGAAAATGTCTTTCCTTATACACAGGGGGCGAGATGCCTCTGTTGGGTGTGGGACGTCCCCACTGCACGAGTTCACAACTGTGTGGTGTTCAATATATCAGGATAGAGAACAAACATGCATTGGATAATATACTGTACAGAGAAAGTCCTTTACATCTGAGTTATAGAAAACCTAAAGGAAAACTAAGTGCATTAAAGCTTTTTCCAGCAAGTGTCTTGAAAGGACAGTAAAGAGGAGGAAGAATCAAAATCATATTAGTACAAATCACTCTTCAATTGTAGACTGTACATGTCTGTACTAATTAAAATCATCTTGGATTTGGAGGAGACAGAACAGAGACAAAGATGCTGTGCTAGATGGAAAGGAGGCCATGCCTGAGAATGGCGCCTGCCCTGAGCCTGACAAGGAACTGGCCCCACTCAGCAGGCGTCGGCCAAAGGAAAGAACAAAAACAAACAAAAAACCCACCACCACAAAAAGAACAGGAAGTATAACTTATAAGATTTCCAAAATAACCTGTGAGTGAAGCGGAGTTCTGGAGCTGGCATCTCTCTCTTTTTCTTTTCCAGTAAATTGGTACACAATAAGGCAGGTACATTCAAGTACTGAATTTTCCAGAATTAACTCTCTGGTCCTGGGGACCAAAGGGAATAAGTTGAGTCCTCCTAACCAGATTTTCTGGTTAGTAATTAGCAAAAGAAAAATTCAGCCAGCAAGTGCTACAAAAACAAAGCATCTAGGCCACTTCCCTTCTACAGAGTAGGTCTATCTGAAAAATGAGAGTGCTGCTGGCCTGCATCTGTACGCATCCAGCTACAACCTGGCAGGTCAGCTTAGCGTAGGTGTCACAGAGAATCAGCAGGAAGAAATGAGATGACGTGGGTGAGGAAACATGAAAGTAACACTTGATTTTTGGTGTCCAATTAGGCGTTCATTTGGTACTGACTTTCAAAGCTCTGACTGTGGCCATCATGTGGCCACAAACTTCTCTGGGTGGCTCAGCTGCTGTGAGGCATTGGACACCGAAATGAAGGTTACCAATACTTCAGCCCTTGAGTGGTCTGTATTGTAAAAGGAGTTGATGAAGACCCAGGGATTATTCAAGTAGCTCTGCACAGTGGCTCCACCAGCCCCATTGTGCTTGTGTCCAGGCCCCCAGCCAGCCACCTTTTCTTGGGAGCAGCCAGAGCTGAGTTCAAGGCATTGCATGGTGAAGGTTTCCATGACACGTCTTTGTAGGTAGCTCTTACCCCTAAGCCCTTTGTTCTTGTTGTTAGTATGGTAGATGGTCAGTCTGGAATTCCTAGAGGAAAAGGAGAAAAAGCCACACCTTGCAACGAGCATGCAACAGGGCAGCTCAGCCCTTGGTGTGGAAGCAGCAGCAGGCTGCCTTTGCAGGTTGCTTCCTGAGAAGCAGGCAGCCCAAGAACAGACAGGCAGGGTGGGTGAGGCTGCTGAGCATCAGGAGCCTCAGCAGGAGACTGGGCACAGGGGTGGGCACATCCTGCCCCCTAAGGGAGCCTGTTCCATTTTGTGGCAAAGATTCAGCTGGCAACTCGTTTTGTCCAAGGCCATTTCTGCAGTAGAAAAATAACTATCTTTGAATCAAACCACCCAACTGTGACGCCTCTGGAGTTTTAAAAGTTGGAGGCTGAGAGGAACTGACAGGAGGGATGTTCTTGGGGACGAAGGGGCCCTCTACATACCCGTCCATTCACCAGAGTAAGGGAATTCTTCTATTGAACCTTCTCCCAGCCTCGGCCTGGCTGAAGGTCCAAAGCACATAGTGTTCCAAAGAGTTTGTCTTGCTACAAGTGGCACAGATGCAAGAAGACCCCTTCCAGGCCCTTGCTCGCTTCTTCCTGAACCTCTGAGCCTGCCTGCTGCCCTGGAAGTGGCTTGTCCCTCCCGAGGAAATGCTGCCATCTGACTACCAGACAAGCGTGGCGCAGAGCCACAGTGACACCTAGTGGTGCGGTACGGTGAAGCACAAGTGACGTCCGCACAGCCCACTGTATGTGACTAAAATCTAAGGAAAAATACTTATGGATATTAAATTAGATACTGATTAATTTGTAATTTTTCTATTGGGTACATCTCTGGAATATAAAAATACCAATATTTAGGGAGGGGTTCATAAGCTACTGTACAATCTAAGGACTGAGAATACCTTTCTCTAAGCTGTTCTGTTTACAATAATTTAGGAAAAGTGTTTAATAATCCAGGCTTAACTAAATTTGCAAACTTGTATATCTGGACGACCTGGGGAACTGTACATGATTCTAATTAGCGGAATTTTCCTGAGCCATCGAGTTTAAGTTAAACACATGTAAAAAGAGGGACACATGGGAGAGGAACAAGAAGGGTTTGTGCTCTGTTAACGTGGGACTTTCATAGTGCACGTCTGCGACCCGGACAAAAGATACAACAGCAGATACAAAATGGTCTCCATTTTGTTAAACACATGTAAAAAGAGGGACACATGGGAGAGGAACAAGAAGGGTTTGTGCTCTGTTAACTTGGGACTTTCATAGTGCACGTCTGCGACCCGGACAAAAGATACAACAGCAGATACAAAATGGTCTCCATTTTGCCCATGCCGAATTCTCATGTTACACAGGTTTTCCCTTTACTTTGTAAATAAACATTAATTTTTAATTTTTAATCATGTGCCTTACTGATCCAGTAAATAAAGTAACCATGTCTCAGGAGTCCCTAAGAAAATTGCTGGAAAAGCACTTTAAAATCACTGCAAATATTTTTCATATTTAAAAATCCTTAATCTTTTTGATGCTTATATACAAGTTATTTCTTGTGCTATAAATGTTGTGAATCCACTGCTTGATTTCTTTCTTTTCCTTGATTTTTTTCTTGAAAAACACACTAAAAGACAAGAGTGGTTCTATTTTCTAATGAAGACATTACTCACACTTAGATATCCAGTATTTATCAGTGACAAATCCAAACAGTAAAGTGCACCCATTTATAGACATGATGTGATGGAAACCCATCAGTGCAAGAATTCTGGGCAAACGGAACATACAATTTGGTGAGAACCCTATAAGCTGAAGTTTGTCACGTCTGTCACCATCTCAGGTGATGTGAACTCGGTGAGTGGAACTTATCAGTTTCATATGAAAAATCTCCCCCCACTGGGAGCCAGACATTGATTCGGCAAGTGTGTGTTTGTTGCTGGGGAAGGGGTATCTCTAAAATACAGTACTAAGATCATCCCATGGCAGTGAAGTAGCAAAACAGGGCATGGGCAGTCTGCTTACAAGGAACAACTTTGTCTCCTGCCCCAATAAGCTCTGGTTGGCATTTTCTAGTCAAAAACAACTGGCGCCAAGTAGTGATATTCACTCTCTTACAAAAAGAATTGCATTTAGACTGCTGATATTCTAGGTGTTTTGCCCAATAGGGCAGAAACCATAAATCTCCTGTTTGTTCTGGAAAACTGAAAGAGACCCTGGGGAGAAGTGGCATATTTGTAAAACTACAGGACTTGCTCACCTGCCTGGAGAGGTGAGTGCAGGTGGTATTTGTGGCATTCCAAATAAGCACGGGCACTTCTGACAGACACTGAGAAATTCTTCAAAATGTAGCAGCTCCTCAGTGAGACTGGTTAAAAATGGATAAGATGCAGAGACCAACAGGACTGAGACCTGGACAAAAAGGGAGCTGAGAGGCTGCTAAGCTCCTAGCTATAGGCTGATGCTATAGCTACACATTTTATCTGAGAGAGAGAGAGAGAGAGAGAGAGAGAGAGAGAGAGAGAGAGGTCCAGCCCACTCTGGTCTAGTCGAGCAGAAGGCAGTCCTTAAGCATCAGAAAGAGTGGAAAAAGTCTGGGTCTTGAGTTAGCCCAGCTGTTTGCTTCCAACACAAAAAGACAATTCCTGGCCTGTTTTAGGCTTGGTGGTGGGAGGGTCCCTCTATTTGGCAGAATCTAAATCAATAAAAAAAGAGAGAGAGAGAGAGGGAGGACATTGATTCCAGCCCACTCTGGTCTAGTCGAGCAGAAGGCAGTCCTTAAGCATCAGAAAGAGTGGAAAAAGTCTGGGTCTTGAGTTAGCCCAGCTGTTTGCTTCCAACACAAAAAGACAATTCCTGGCCTGTTTTAGGCTTGGTGGTGGGAGGGTCCCTCTATTTGGCAGAATCTAAATCAATAAAAAAAATGTTTCTGATCTCAGCGTCATGCTCCCCCCCCTTTTTCGCAGCTGGCCAGTGCGGGGATCGAACCCATATTTTGGTGTTATAAGGCTGCACTCTAACCAAATGAGCTAACTGGCCAGAGCATATCTTAATGAACATTTCAGAGGACACACTGTTACAAATGGGTCTGGTCACAGCTGGATTTTTATTTCTGTAGCCTTTTACTAACAGGAGTGGAATGACTCCTAATAACAGAGAACTGGTGCTCTTTTCTTTACTTGCAGTTGTTTAGTTTGTTGGGTTGAGTTGTTTAGTTTTAATAGCTCATGTGCAGCCAGTACCAGGCCTGTGCTAAGGTTTTGGTTTCAGTGTTCTTGTCATCCATTTAATAGTGGCCCCAGTGACTCAAAGGTCCGGTTAGCAAATCACCACAAGACCTAGAAGATGTGTGGAAAGTGACTGGATCAGAAGCCTGTTGTCTATCTTGCACTTCCACCCACGGCTAGAAAACATGGCTAAAAAGGATCTTTATTCACCGAGACACCGTATGCTGTGTCTGATTTTCAAATATCAACCCCCTCAAACACTCCTAGGAAAAGGAAACAAACAATTCTTGTAATAATAGATAATGAAACCGCAAATCTCTTAATGAAATTAGATAACTGGTGTGGAATATGATGGCCCTGGGTAGAAACTCTGGTAATTAATCTTACAGTCCCAAGAGAATTCAATTTGCTTCTCAAAAAACCAATTTCTTTACTATACTATCTGGGTTTTAAAAAAAGAGGTCAGTAGAACAAAAGCTGGCTCTAGGTGAAGATCCAACTAACAGAACGTCTGCACCAGCCAACCTCTGGGAAGAGTTGGCTTTTTGTGGAATATGATGCTCAGTGATGTAACAGGATCTAAAAAGTGGACTTCACCAAAACAGATTTTCTACAGCCCTTCACTGAGAATCCAGAACGATCTATCTTTCTTTCTCTCTTTCTGTATATTTATTCCCTCTCCTACCCCTGGAAAATCTGTACCTTTTTGTAGTTAATGGTAGCCTAAAAACCTATAGAATTCTTTAAAAATACCTACAATTCTCATCTAATTTCCTTGGCTGACTGAAATATTTAAACAGCTGGTTGTTTCTAAATGTTTCTAAAATGCCTCTTGGAAAATCAATGTAGTGACATTTGAAATAATTGGGTTTTTTTTCCTTCAATTTAACAGACTTATTTCTTCTCTCTCTCTCCTTGATGCTTTTACCCCCATGGGAAGGTCAGCAATGATCCTAATGAACATTCTGGACCTAAAGACTGCAGGGCGCTGGCAGTCTAGGGAAGGAGACCATGGCACAAGAATGCACTGGGATGGCTATTTGGATAATACCAGACAGGAATGCAAAGGCAAAGGGGCATTACACTCCTTCTAAAGTTCCTAGGAGAAAACAAACATCTTGTTTTTTTTAAAAAAGAAAAAGACATTTACACAACAAGAACATCAGTGAAAGCGATTGTCTCCTGGAGAAAGCTGACCAGTGTGTCTGATCTCCCTGGGTTAAAGCACACGGCACAAAAATCTCCTTGTTGGCATCTGAAGAGAAGGAGAGAGCATGTGGCTGGGGCACAGACAAGAGAAACTGAAGTCCTGGCTCGCTGGAGGCCAGCTTCCCCGTTGGCTGCATGCAAAGGATTTCAGCATGTGGGCGGCCACCTCTGAACACCATACAGAAACTACATGAGAAATTAAGCCCGAGAACTACCTCAAATGTGGAAACCAAGCCTGAAAATGTGCAGTGAAAACATACGGGTCTCACTCCAACAAACGTCTTTTAAACATTAGACTCCACAAATGGTCTCTTTGGTTTGATAGGGGATGTCTGCCCTTGTCGAGAGTCCCGGGACAACTGCCTGTAGAGGTTGTCCTGGTATGCCTGAGCCACAGGAAGGGTCCGAGCCACCTTCACATCGGGATAGGAGGAGGCCTGGCTGACTCTCTCCAAGAGGTCCCCACGGGACCCATTAGCCAGCATCCCGTGGGGGCTGTAATAATCGTCCTCCAGCAAATGGCCATTCTGTGCATTGTTGGTTTTGTTATAAAAGGCAATGTTGCTGATGGATGACGGTGGGCTGAAGGATTCAGGCTGAGGCAGGTTGCCTGGAGACGTGGGACTGAGAATGGTGTCCACCGATGACACTGCCCAGGTCCGATTCTGCTGGTGAAGGTGGGGGTACTGTTGAGTCCGGGCTGTTTTATCTATGATCCCCATGAATGGTGTGGTCCTGGATCGGGTGGGCTCACTGGGGTAACCTCCCTGAGTGGGAGACACTGGTGACAGCTCGTCACATGACCTATCATATGCCGGTTTCAGTGGGATCTCCATTTGCTGAATTGAAGAAGATGGCCGGAAGGTAGGAGTTAGGTTGGAGGTGGATGAAATACTATTGCTGGATGGAGAGAAGCGAAGACCTACACTCTGGGAGTGCAGCAATGGCCTGGGAGTCGGAGGGTGGGGCTTGATTTCACTAGGGTTGACACTAATAGGTCTTCTGATTAAATGTGACACATCAGGGGAACCTAATTGGCTGGAGGAACGCTCCAGATCTAGTTTTGAGTGACAGACTGGGTAATAGGAAGCTGACTGGCTACGTCCAATCTGTGGTGTCTGGCTGTATCTCACGCCACCCCGGTATGCTGAGGAAGGTCGCTGTGGAAGATCTTCTTTGGTCAACCCTCCATGCTGACAGATGGCACCTGCACTCAGGCTGGCTTGGACATGCTGCACAGGTCTCCCATCCCCTACAATTCCCCCAATTGACCCTTGATAAACCAATCGGCTCTGACTCACTCCTATATCTCCTTGTGAAGACTGGTATTTACTAGCCATCGAATGGGCTCCTTGGCCATAGGCTCCTGTGGGGATGACAGTGCTTGAATGAACTGCTGAGCTGGGCTGGTTACTTCTCACAATCTGGGCTTTGGCAGGCTGTAGCCTGAGCCCTTGCTGGGGAACTGCCACAGGAAGCTGAGGCATCTGGTAGGGCCGCTGGGCCATTTTGGATAGTGGAGATTTTGGTCTGCCAGGAAGCTGGCTAACATTTGTTTCTTGCTGATAGCGCACAGGTGAACCAGACTGGGATCTATAGACACTCATGCTTTCAGCTGGAGGGCTGGCTCGATACTGAGGGCCTCTACGGAGAGGGGACGGGGGAGGGCTTGGGTATTCTTTGCCCTGCCCTCCCACAGGAGGGGGGCTAAAGCGGTAAGATCCACCCTGATGAGCTGGGGAAGTGTGTGGTGGACTGGGCCTGTAATGAGAGTTCTGGTGAGTTGGAGAAAGAGCAGGTGAGGGGGACTGATAGCCCTGTCTCGTGGGAGAACCTACGGAACTATTGGACCGGAAGTCAAAAACCTGATGAGAGCCAAGAGGGGAACTAGAGATGTAGGCTGAGTCCCGATGGGCTGGAGAGGACGGTGGGCTCTGGATAACGGGGAGCCCTTGGCTGGGCCGGGCCTCTGTCTGGAGGCCAATGGAAACGTTCTCAACGTCTGGCTCCAGGTACTCCTCCTCAAATATATCTTGTGCGGAGTATGTATCTTCACGCTGTGCTTCAGGCTCTGATTCTTCTGGTGAGGCCAATGGAAACGTTCTCAACGTCTGGCTCCAGGTACTCCTCCTCAAATATATCTTGTGTGGAGTATGTATCTTCACGCTGTGCTTCAGGCTCTGATTCTTCTGGTGGCTGCGGCTGCGGCTGCGGCTGCGGCGGTGGCGGTGGCTGCTGCATCTGTCTACACTCTTCTTCTACTCTCATCAGAAGTCTCTGGATCTCACGGTTGTTTGGACATAGTTTGATGGCCTCGTTCAGGTCCTCTAAGGCTGCTGCAAACTGTCTGCTTAACAGAAGGTAAACACAGAAACTGAGGTTATTCTGAATTAACAGGAGTCATCAAGAGCTGAGAACACGGTTGCTATTTCAGAGAACTATGGTGGCATCTGCGGGAGTCTGCAGTGTTCAGTTTAGTTTGATTCGTAAAGAAGGAAACAGATAGGCTGTCATTCTAGAAGAGTCCAGAATGATTCTCTAGGCCATTTAGCCTCTATTTTCCTTCTGGCCTCTCTGGGATTAGTGGAGAAATATCTCCATTGTGTCAGTCCAGCCGGGCCCTTCAGGAAGATCTCTTAGTGCCCAAATGCACACCAGGCAGTATGAGGGGAGGGTGGGGTGGGGTTGTCATTTACAGGGTCACTGTCAAGTAGCTTAGGAACAAAACAGCACCTACAATATTTAAAAATCTTGCTGATCTGGCAGAAATTTTTCTTTATTTTCTCAATATCTTGGCTCCAATTTCAGGCCTGTTCTATTCTAGGTAAGAACTCTGTCCTCTGCCCTTTCTAGCCCTCACCCCACGGCACTGCTGATCTCCATTCCACTCCACCAAAGATGGGCAGGTACTAGGCTTGCTGACTAGGCAGCTCAGGTCTGCAGCTGGGCTGACCCCAAGGAGATTCTAATTTACAAATGACGAAATGAACTGTCAGAGATATTCCCATCCTCTAATTAATATTGCCTGGAAAAGGGCGATTGGCCTTGTGGGAAAGGAACAATCCAGAGGAAAAGAGCATTTGATAGTCAATCTTCTGTAAAAACTTTGTTACTCCAGCTAGTGAAGACTAATATTGCCGCCATTATCACTAGCCTCAACCTGGGTTTGATTTTTAGACCATATTCTCCCTGGTCACAGCAGTGACCCTGAAGCAGTACTTTCCCATGCAGAGTTTGGGAGAAGATGGGGTGCTGGGCAGGAGGCATCAAGGACAGTGACAAGTTATCCAAAGGTCACTAACTGCAGGTTCTAGTCCTTCTGGAGGCTTTCCTGCCCAGGGGCCCAACTCTAGCAGATGGGCACGAGGGATGATAGAGCGGTGTTTCTCTGGAGCCCTCTCAGCCCCCCTGTTCCCGTGTGTGTGTGTGGTGTGCTGATGGTTTAGGTGACACGTGGGTTGGATGCCACCAGACTTGAGGAGAGCCCCGAAGGAAGACTGACTAATCCGGGGATCCCCAAATGCCTCTAAGAAAAGAAAGACGAGCCTGTGATGCTGAGTGACCCATCTTTCCCCTCTAAAAGGGTTGGTAGGATGTGTTGCTTAAGTGACCTCTTCTTTAAGTCACTGGCGTCTCTTTATGCTATCTGCTTTGGGGGTTGAAAAGTGACTGAGATATGGCAGAGGTTTCTTGAAAGAAGGTGCCGTTCTCCAATGAAAAAGCATTTTTCTCCCACAGTAAAATGCTCTTGGTCTCCGTAGCCCAGATTTGCCAGTCTTTAGCTGACTACTGTGCTACTGGAGCCATCCCCAAAGCTTGGCCCTAAGAGTCCTCAAGGACAGAGACATATTTGGGTACATATGCCCCAGGGTGGCCTACATTGCCTTGGCCATATTTTCAGAAAAGAGACCTCTTGCTTCTCACCCTCTCTCTCTCTCTCCTCACCTGCTGCTGCGTTTTGCCCTTGCTCTTGCATAGTAAGCTTCATAAGATTTCGGTTTCAGCTCCAGGGCCTTAGTAGCAAATTCCTCCGCCATTCCAAAATCCTGTCATTACAATAGGTGTGCAAATGAGTCATTGAAGAGATATAAAAAATAGACAACTTGGGAATAAAACAAATTATGTACATTTCTTTGACATTTATGACTGGAACACCTGGGATTCTGGATATGCCTGACATGGCTTTAGCCACGTGGCCCACAGACTGAAAGTTCCTTCTGCCTTTGCTCTGTGTGGCCCTG